GTTCCACCAGCTAGAAAGATTGTTTGTAAACGAATCATCACCAGCCGAGGTGACATCTTTAGTGCATGAAGGTTTGCGCAAATCGGTTTATGAGAAGATAAGTGGAAACAAATTGAAAAGCTAAATGAACAGGTAGCAATTAATTCAGTTAACCTGACCATTTTAATACACACCCTTTTGTGATGAATAGCAGATAGGGTAAACCCCATAGTCTTGAGAACCAATCGTTCACTCGTAGAGGCGGGCAAGCTAAATCCTGGGACTCCGATCATTGAACCACACAATGCTCCACTAGGTGAGGCGTGGAAGTGGGCCGGACGATAGCAAAGCTTCCTACCACCAAAGTTGGTTGGTGGTGCGGGGTTCGAACCTCGGACCCCAAGGCCCAAGGTACGCTAAGGACGGCAACTGAAACCATTTGACCATCACCACAAGAGGATCAATTTTTAATACTGTCATATACTGACATATATATATCTAGAATTTTGAATGGAGACGNGTATTTTGCACTGTGAAGACGTTAAACAAGCAAACGGGATATCACCATAATGAACTAAATTTACCATGAATAAGAATGGATTTGTTTTGCAAGCCGGGTGTGCACAAAAATGGCACCAGGTCGGGTTCAACTGGTGCTATCGTGATCACTAGACTTCCCTCGACGAAGCGATATTGTTTGTGCAGGTCCAAACATTGTACATCGGGCGGCAGTTGTACTCCGGCTATCGGTCTATCTGACATGTCCAACGGTGGGCACCGCGGATACGATGTTCTGTTCTTTTCCAGTTTAATCACGTTGGGGGGCTCGCATGGAGGTCTACCATCAGGACCGGTCACTACAATTCGATTGAACACCTGTTGTAATCGCATTTCGGTTTGATTGCAAACAATACGTGCCATTCCCGAGAACAGGGCAGCAAATGGAGTTTGACCAGTAAACAACCATACGAAACCCGGTTTTTGACTTGTATAAGTGACAGCGCACGTAACTGGGAATCGTGCCGTCAGATAGGCATTCACGCGCTCACCATCCGCAAAACGTCCGACTGCAGCACTTAGTTTCCCCGAATGTGTGTTGTTTATGATGAATGCTTTTGGAGACAAATGAATGGTGAATTCCTGTGGACTGGCTGAAATGAAATCGGTACAAATACGACCAGGAGGTTATTCCGTCAAACGTTGACAGCGGAATGATGAAGCAAACCAAGCATAAATAAATAATGAACTGCGTAGCGAAATACGGTGAATCGGGATTAGCCAGCGAGACAATGCAAGTATCACAATGCATGTAGACTGATCGAGAGTATGCTAGATAGAGTAAACTAAATTATATAGATAGACAAGTAGATAGCTAGATTGATTGACCGATTGATTGGTTAATTGGTTAAGTGGTTGAATGATTGATTGATATCGTCTGGCTCTTTGAAAAAAAAACAAAGTACATTGAACTGAAGGCATATGACAGTTGTATATTTATCTTAAGGAATAACAATAGAAATGTAAATATTATCGATCCATTAACATATAAAATCGGTGGAATCAAACCTAGTAAAATTTGAAGACAACGAAATCGTTTACGAAACTATCCACCTACCTATGATTCCCGTTTACAAAACCGTGTAAACTGACACTTCTGTGCTCTGTTGTGGATTATTGTCTTTCTGCTACCCATCTGGTTGGTTTAAACGGGACAGTAAAATTAAACCAAAACAGAGATATTGACTATGGTGAAATAGAGGGATGCATGAACTCCATTGTTTATGTCAACCAGCCAAATCAAACAATGTCTCCAACCATTGATTAGGCAAGCATCAGGACTCCCAACCAAAAGGCAGCATGGGACTAAGCATCCTACTGAAAGCTTTCAGTAGTCCACGCCAGCTCACAATCTAATCACACTACTGCAACGTACAGCAGAGCCATTGCAGATGCAGCAGCGTCGAATCAAGCCTTTTCATGAGGCCTTGTTATGTGGTATTGCAATTTTCTCCTTTAATTGTAACTGTATTAAGCGACTCAACGTTGAGGGTAGAAATTTGAGGAGCCTAACTCGACCTGTGTTCCACTGAAGGTTTTCATACCCCAATGCCAAATCTATATCACTAACCTCGCATGAGGACAGGGCTGCCTCCAGAATCCACTACAAAGCTATAGAACAAAGGGAAGAGAGGGGTCAACCCAGACGAACAACGGTTTTTGTGGTAAACATTTATAAAACCAAGCTTGAACTCGGTTTATGGTAGCAGTCTAAAGGGATGATATTAGTAGAACTGCTCCGGAACACAAACAGTGAGGAGGTCACGGCAGAGAACTGTAAAGTCGACTAGATCTAATGCCGCTCTCAGATCAAATGGCCAGCCAGTGGAAGAAATGTGCATGGTAGGGGAATTAGACGAACAGTGAAAATAAACTCGATGAAACTACCTGGGCTAAAACCAGCATGATTCTCACACGTGCTTCCCTAACGTGCCAACCGGGCAATCGACAGAGCTAGTGTAAAGCTGCGAGGCGATACTGATTGATCGACTTCTTCCATTGTTACCACAAGATTTATTTTCTTACGTCTACTTCGGTAATAGGACCCATCTGAACCATTCTTCCGAACTGGTTCTCGTTTCCATTATAAACTCAAGAAGTTTGTCCAATCCAAAGTGAAATCATTCGAGCAGAGGGCTTTCACATCCATTTCAAAGGAGTACTGATATCATCTGCTATGGTTAACCAGTTGGACTGAGTTGGTAAATCTAAATTCGATGTGGGATAGTTGAACATAGCCTCGAAATGTCGCACAAGACAGTGTTGCTGAATGTGAATAAAAATGTCATTAGATTCATTATATTACCTCATTTATTCCTACATTTTGTGGGTTCCTACTGCCAATTCGACGGAAAATGTTGCGACTATTCGCGACATTCACAGCCCCTCCTCTGCACACGTTGCTACCCACCACCTCGTAGTCATTCCTCGGGTTCTTGATGCCCTCGCGAGCGTCTAGGATATCGGTCGTTTGTGCTTAGATCGTGTTCCAGAATTCATCACTGATTCGATCAGTATACATACCTATTTGCAGCCGTCGCTTACCTTGTTCTGTAAGCACGCCTGTCGGTGGCTGAACACTGGGAGTGGAGTAATATTTCATTAGTAGTCTTTGAATTTAGGATGGCACGTCTTTGTAACTAAATTCACGAGATTTAGGCAATCAAAACATCTGAAAACCAAAAGGAAATGGAGTTACCCCAAAAGAGATAGATTTGCCTTAACCGAATGGTACTTGGGCCTGAACATCGAGGCTGTGTTAAGCTTCCCGTTAATTGAATCCATAGTCAGAGACACTGAGTTGGATGACAGTGGGTCGTAAACAATAGCCCTCAAGAAGCTATTCAGTTTTTTTCATAAATTTACCTTAACTTCATTCTGCAGCTTTGCCTCAATACTCTTTCCAGCTTATGTCTCGTTCCAACTACTCATCCATTCAAACGGGCACTCGAAAAACACCGCAACCTAAACCGTTGGACGAAAGAGCGAGATAAATGGTTGTTTGAACTGAATCGAAATTGTGCTGATCAATGTTTGGAAGCCCAGGTGACCAAGAGAGATAAAACAAGCATGACAACAGCGTAAATACCAGTTTCAAGCGAAAAAAACTTACATGCAATTATAAGTGTCTTTTGAAAACGACCGGGATAACAGAACACTTTGATAAAGCCCTGCATCATATCTCTTGCACCGGTTCGTAGCAAACCTTGTTCAAAATTCAGTCCAGGTGGAATCGAATGACATCGAAGTGACGCTTGCAGTGGTTGCAAAACTCGTGCAACTCCCTCCCAAAAGGATGGAACTACAGCTTTCCATTGACAAAGCTGATATTCCTTCCGTTCATCTTCCAAATAGATCACATCGGGGGCTCCGCTGCAATCTTGTTCAAAGTGACCTTTGTCGAAAATCGCTCGAGGAAATCCCGAGTATATTTTGAGCGTGTGTTCGTCACAAAAGAGCCAATAAAGACCCTCTGCCCATTGGCTAATATTTACGTTAAAATACTGGTCCACAGTGACCTCAACAGGTGGTCCGTAACGACGTTCTGTGACATTGTAAAACCTGGTCCTACAGCTTGGCTGTATTGCTGTGAATAATGGAGTTGCACAATATTTTCCGTCCCACCATCCAAGACAAACTCGGAAACTTTTCCGTTGGTTTTTAAAGAATATCGACTGTGAGGGCATGAGACGAAACGTTAGATCTGCGGATGCATTTTCTATGACAGAATAATGAAATGTTGAACAGAAAAAATGTGTTAGTTTACGATAGCAAATAGGCGCAAATGCAAATAACATTCACTCCTTTACATGAATAGTACACAGATGAAGAATGATCCAAGCTAAGAGGCTATGTTTATATATTACAAGAAACACCATCAATGTCACTCAGTCCGCCTTAGATGCATTTCGAGTTTTCTGTACAAAACCCCAATGTTTTGAACAATTATAAAAGATTCAAGCAAGGTATTTTATTAAGATGTAAATAATTTCAATATCAATTGCACCGTTCCAGTTAATCTTAGTAACTGCGTGTGAAACTTGAAGAACATTTCAATTGATGATCACTATTAGCAGCCTCGCAACAGTGTGTGAAACGTGATCTCCGTCATACGTGAGGCTGCTCCGGATGACTCAAACATTCGTATTATGATTTTCATTAAAATGATAGTCTGGCCACTGGTGCTTTCAAAAGTGAAGTAAGTATGCCAGTAAGCATGATTTCAAAAATCTTTATCATGAATAATTTTTACAACTGAATGCCTTTTACAGGATCATTAACTGAGATCTTGTGGCAGGGAAAATTGTACCATATGCCATAACAGATATGGCATGGCAATTACGGGTGGTGAACCCCGTTTGTTTCTATCTGCATTAGGCCAGCCCGTCCGGAGCATCTTAATTCAAATTGCTTTTCATCACCAAAAATTATTCTGTCCAATTCTTGATTTCCCACTACATTCTTAACTGTATATAACGCAGGGAAATTAGCCATAGAAAATTTCTCATCTTCGTGTAAACTAGATTCCGGACATTTTGAAGTAGCTTTTGAACTTCTGATCATAAAATTTGCTCCAATTTATCCCGGGCGGGATTGTTTTAACCCATATGTAGCAGGATTGGCAAGAATTTTCCTGTTTAGGATAGGATCGTTTTAATTATCAAATGTCGCCCTGTCGTTCTTCTGTGGACTAACAATTGAGCAAACAGACGCACGCACATTCATGTCACGAGAACTATGGACTTCGAACCGCAGTCCTCTTCGCAAGCAAACCATGGATCCAAAGAAACCCATTGCTGATGAGCACTGTTCACTGTGTACTACACTTTAACCCGACTTTGACAGAACCGGACCAAAACATTTTAAAAACTATGTTTATTTTCTCACGTGATACCCATGTGTCGAGTACGAACATGATCACTTATTAGCATCTCGCACTTCGAACACACTTCTTTCCATAAGCTAACTTCCACCCAGTGGAGACCAGAAGTGTCGATTTCATCCATTTCTAAGTAATGTCTACTCTCATCAATGGCCAAATGAGGGACCTTAGTGCAGTCATTGCGGAGGCTTTTCACGGAAATGTGAGTGATCTTAACCGCTGGTACAAGAGAATTATTCTGCTTCACTCGCAAATCTGAAGTTTAATGATCAATTAGCATGCCGACAATCACTGATCAGATGGACATACGTGAGACCACTTTCAATTGTTCGTTAGACAATCCGGACTAACACATGTGAAATATAAAACTTAGAAGGGCAACGACGTGTGTCATGTATAGACGGCAAGTAACTGATAAAACTGATTTGGTTTAGATATGCTTGAATAGCAAAGTCACAAACATGGGTTTGCACAATGTATATATCAACATTTCGCTGCATCCATACTCGCGCACACAGCAGTCAATGTAGTTTTTATAGTTAGTAATAAAAATAACGTAAGATCAAGACATGACTAAATGTTGAATTCGTCATGTAAATGAGGCGTGAGCTGAAAAGCTGGGAGCACTGGACAGCTGTTTCGGCCTGGTTGGTTCTCATCAGCAGTGCAAATCCCTCGACCCAACTACGTACCAAACTTGAAATTCGAATCACGGTGACTAAATTAGGCTGTGGTTATGCCCAAAATTAGGGTGCCCTACAGTACACGGTTTTATGGGTCAATTAAGCGACTCAATTAATCGATATTGCACGTTCAACGCGATTAGGTTTTTGCTACAGATTGTCTGAATGTTTAGCACGAGAATAATGGAAGGGTGTCAGTATGTGACAGCCATTAGGCAACATCCGTGAGTGCGGAGTCGAAAAATATGTAAAGAGTAGACTGGATAACAGAAAGCATCATCACTCACTCAAAAAGTACACGTAGCGCTTGATATTTTTCTCGCAATTAATAATAATGTTCCGAGGCACATGTTTAGTGCCGGGATTCAGGTAGGCCCAATCGCGCACAAATCGCAATTCATCATGTTCAGCGTGACACGCAGTGTTATGGCATAACCGAATTCGCGCATCGTGCAACCGCTGTAGCCATTTGGTTGGCAACATGGGACGGGCACAACACCAACGGAATGGAGACCAGAAGTTGTCGAAATTTACATACCTGGTGGCAGCAGAACAATCTAAATAATATTGTTTGTTCGCAAATAGGAGCACAGTTCGTCGCCACGGTGGGACCGAACTGTTCGAACTACATTGAATCCGGTAAGGACCCGTGGGTAAAACGGTCAGGTTCAAGGACTTATTAAAATAGCTCTCATGGTATGCATCCAGACCAGCCAATATGCACTGCACTGAATGAGTCTGACTGCATAGGCTATTCGGAGTAGACTGTACACAAATTGACAGTGTTTGATGCGCATCTTGAAACAGCAGTTCTTCATTTGGCAGGGTAGTTATTTCCAACGCATGGAGTTTGTTGCTTGCGAGTAGGAAAAGAAATAGTAATGTATCACCCGGAGAAATACGACATATCATTGTCTATGAATAGATGGTATTGAATCTCTTTTAAAAGTCACATGACGGAGTAGATGACAAAATCGATTTCTGACAGAAGTGGAAGTATCGTGTTGATCTCAGTTACACGTGTTATATATATATGAGAAGAATTTGCACCGGAAACAGGCCAAATAAAAATGAGAGATACGGATAGCAGCCGGCCGCTTTTGTTCAGACACGTTTTATTAATTGGGAAATAAAGTAGTTTTATAAGTTCAGTCCACAACCACTAGGACTCATGTCTACCACGCGTAGGAAACCAGTTTTATTCGATACTAGAAATAAAGGACTAACCGGTTTGTGATCCCATACACACCGAAGTGCCACACCACCAGTTTTCACGCTGACATCCCAGGAACGACCACTAAACCTTGTCCCTTGTACCGCAGTGCAGTACTAATGCTTATGCACAAACTGAAATATAATCTCTTCCCTAACTGAAAGTTATTTCTTGATATTGGTGTGGGATAGCCAATACTGACTTCAGCTTCTCAGACTTTAGACTTCAAGTCAAGTGAAGTCAACAGCAGTTTTGTGCACACGGATGGTTGAATTTTCAGTATTTTACACTATACTTGTGGGTGAAAATCTACAAAATTATACATAAAAATCTGAAAGCAGTAGATACTGTCTTTTTCCATGAAGCAAGCGATTGCGTAATCTTCTATGATAGGGTCTGTAAGCTTATCCTTAACGATACCACTACGTTTAGAGATGTTTCAGAGATCTCGCCAGTAAATAAGTCTTTTTTCAACATAACGGGGAAAATCACTGGGGATCAATACAACCAATGGGGTAGCACGCATGCATTCAAACCTAAAAATCAGCTCGTGTGAGCAGAAAGTATTCTCAACCGGAGTGAGAAATATGAAAGCTTTCCAACTTTACAGAATTTGTTTTGAATATGCAGTGACCATGATAAATTGTGTAATATTGCGACGCCAAGGTACTTTACCATTGTTGATGTCGGTAGGGGTTCGTGATCAGTAAAAAAGGTGGAACACCTTATCTGTGGTACGTCGGCCAACAGGGAAAACACAACATCCTGAAATTTAGAGGCATTTAATGAGAAGGAATGGGACAAGGATGTAGTGATTGTAGTAGTAGTAGTACGCACTGAACTCGGGATACGAATCACGCAATACGAATCACGGAATATGAATCAAGGATCAGCTATCACGGATTGGATCACGTAAGCACTGGACCGCACTGGCAAATGCACGCAACGTCCCGCGTAACCGAGACGCGATGAAAAGGCCACCGGATTAGTAGGTCGTTTATTGAAAGAAATAAGGGGGATTAAATAATATGTACAAAACAAGCTCATTAGTCATCCGGACCTCTGCCAATCGCCTTCCAGTATTGTTTGTGTCGTTCTGCTTCCGTCTGGGCCGCACGATCTCTGATTGGCTGCTACGATCTGCCTATGGTATGGAGTCAGAAGGAGTGACACGTACGCGCGATGTTTACGTCAGCCGTGAGGTTTGAGTGATCGCATTTGTCCAACAACTGTAACGCGCCGCTTCAGGGTAGACGTCATCCCATAGGCCCAGATCACCACAAAGGACCAACTAACAACGTCGTTTGGCTTGCTTTGAATTTCTGAAGCCTCTTCGGTGGTGGATACTTTCCAAACTAAATCAACATCATCTGTGTATTTACAGCCAATGAATGTGGAAGGAATGGAAAACTATTTGACATAGATTGAAAAGAAAAATTGGGGGGAATATAACACCTTGCAGAACGCCAGAAGCAACTGGGTGAGTAGAGGATTTTTTGCCGTTGATGCATGTGAACTGACTTGTATTCTGTCAGCATTTCGATTAACACCACTCCCATTAATTGGGTCCAGCAACATCGATCGATCCAGACTCCCGAATGCGCTTTCGTAGTCTAAGAACACGAGTTTAACGGTCTTGCACTTCCCATATAGAGCTAAAAGTATGAAGTGAACAAGCTAAGCGACGGTATCAAATGTTAAGCGCGAAGGCCGATATGCAAACTGATGTATATCATCTTCGGTAGACTCAGTGACAGCCAATGGTAGCAATAATCTATCAAATAATTTGAGCATGACTGACGTGCAGACGATGGGACGCTACTTCCCAAGTTCTTTAGGGGGGATGGAAGTTATCTCGGTCAGTCTCCAAATAGCAGGATTTTTCCCGCTTGTCAGAGAGTTACTGAATATGTGATATATTGAGACTGAAAGAGTTTCGCACATACCTTGATCACCACGGGTATCAGTTCGTCTGGACTAGATGCTTTGTTCATCTTTGTTTGTCGTAGGTGTTAGAGGACCGTGGCGAGTTCGATAGTTGGTGGTGGCGTAGAGCTAACCAAGTGTGGCAGGGCTGTGCAATATGAAACTGGACTAAACTCGGAATGTAGTCTATCAACGTCGACAGTTTCCCTTTTGTCTTTATTAGTACTGTCACACAGGAGATTGACAACACGCCACAACCGACGTTTCCCAGGATAGTATCTATGTACAATTTGTTCAACCGATTTATTTCAGATTTGATCAAAACTATAAGCCGCTTGATATGAGTTCTCCGTCCATTCTTATAGGCCTGTTCTTTCCGCCTGCGTAGCTGTTTTGGTAAAGGTGATGAGTTAGGCCCGGTCCTGGCAGACCTGTTAAGGGCACATCTCGAACAGAAGGCAAATAACATTCTAGAACGTGCAATCCTGTACAAACGAAACGTCAACGATACCCTTGTAATAACAGAAAGCCTAGAAGAAGCTACAGTAATTTTGGATGAACTTAATAGATTACATCCAAATATTCGCTTCACAATGGAATCTGTTGCCAACAATACCCTGAATTTCCTCGACATCAGCATGAGGCGAAGAGAAAACGGAAAGATCACCCGATCCGTTTACCGGAGGATGACCTGGATAGGCCAATATTTACACTTCGAGAGCTTTGCACCCCTGGAGTATAAACGTGGTCTTGTTCGGACTCTATTCAACAGAACGAGACGGATCTGCACGGAAGACAAAATTGAACAAGAATTACAAAACCTTCGGGAGATATTAGCAGAAAACGCTTACCCCGAAGCGTTGGTCAATAAACATAGCAACCCAAGAACTGTAAGAGAAACGATTGCGTCAGCCCCAAAATTACGAGTCACGTAGTGCCTCCAATTCAAGGGTGATGACGTAAGCAGTTTGTTCAAAAAACGACTGAGATCGGCAATTGTTCGAACCTACTATGCAGTCGACCCCCCAAATCGTCTATCGGACAACTAGAATACCCACACACCCCGGTAAAGAACGTCTTCCTCTATACGCCAACTCTAATCTGATTTACCAATTCCAATGTGGGTGCGGAGCGACCTACGTGGGCAGAACAGAGTGACAGTTACGCAACCGGGTGGTTGAACATATTCCAAATTGGGTTCAAAGTCAGATGACGCAATCTGGGTCAGTTCCGCGGCATAGAAACAACGGTCGAAACTACAAGACTCCGTCACCAGCCATAGCTCGACATCTTCTGATGACGCAACACCAGATCGACCGAAACATGGCGTTTCGGATTATCTACAAGTCACGAATCGCAAGATTGCTACGGTTTGCAGAAGCGATTGCTATCAGTCGATGGAAGCCCCCCTTGTGTCAACAAAAGAACTTTATGTTAGTTTATCCTTACCCTGGTGACAGTCTTTTAACCCCTCCCCCCCCCTTTATGTTTGTCTGGTTCATTGTATTTTGCTCTTCTTTGTTGCCATGCTAAATTCCTATATAACTGATGTTTTTTCTGCAGTATGTACCATGTTGAGATGCAGCGAAATCGTCCTGGACATAAATCATGCAGTACTACAATTTGGTCTTTTCTTTTGAAAGGTGATGAGTGTCTATTTCCATTGGGTAAAACAGATCAAAGCGAAAACTAAGGTAGTCAGTAGCACGTTCACAGAAGACAGAAGCGTTCTGATATGGAAACATCGAAAAATATGTGGGGGCAATCAGGGATCTTAACCTTTATAGGTTCTCAGAAGAACAATTCCTTTTGCTCATCATATTGGATGGTCTTCTTAAAAGCGCGTACCGGTTGGTTTTACTCTATACTGTTGAACACACTTTCAATATACAATGATCCAAACTACTCAGAAGAGTGCGCTTCTGAACGTTGTAAACTTGCGGTCTATTTCTAAAAAACGAAATCTAGTTGTGCATCGAGCCTGACAGGAAAATGTACCAAATTTTGTAGACACTGCGGTGAAGAAAGTTACATCATGTCTGTTGAAATCACTAACAAATATAAACGAACAGCCACTTGTTCGTGCTATGATGGAAGTAGAGAAAATACCAGAAAACCTAATGATGTCAGATGCTGATACTGCGGGTGACAGGTAAGTTTCCAAGACGTATGGAACGAAACACAATCAAAAAAGGGGGCTTGCCTTCGATGACGTGGCAACTTATTTTATCCGTTGAGTAGTCGTAGATGACGGGGATTAATTTATTTCAGTTGTTGCTAACATAACTGGCAACACATCCGTCTCGTTTGCGGACATTGATGGGACGACCAAGCCGATACAAGT